AGTGAGTACACATCGATGGCAAGGGAGGTCCATGGGCAAGAGTACGATCCGAGCACCAAGGACCTTAATGGAGAAGTCGTCATGAGGGTGGGAGGAGGCAAGAAGCATGGGCGGTACTGGATTGGCGACGGCGCAATCGACTCGGCCACTACTCCCAGTCTCTCCTAGATTCGAGCAAGCAGCACGAGCAGGAGCCCGGCCATACGACCTCGGCATGACACTTCACACCACCGGGTGGAGGCACTCGAGGTTATTCCTGGTTTATTCATCGTTCATTGGTTTTTTCATACCTTTTCTTTGCATTATTATAACATTGGAGTGAATATATTGTAGGCCCAGCTGGAACAAGAGAGGAGGATACGGGAGCAGATGCAGGCGAAGATGGAGAGGGTGGAGGCCAAGCGAGAGGCCGAGCAGCGGAGGATGGCGGAGATTCTTCAGTACATGCAAAGTCTTAGCGCCGCTACGGGTGTAGTTCTGCCACCTTCGCTATTCGCTCCACCTCCATCTCCACCTCCTCACTATTCTACTCCTGTGAGTATAAATATTTTAGTTTTTATGTTCATGCTTACGGTCAAACCTAGTGGAGTATGAAAGATTTATTCATGTATGGTATATATTTATCTTGTCTCACACATGCAATCTCTTCTCCTTTGTGCAGAATCAATCGGCGGCATCGAACGATCCTCATGCTTCAGCGAATCCTTCACCAAATTAGTCTCATTGGACATCTTGGTGATGATACTTGTGGTTGTTAATGGTACTTCTATTTGCAATTGTGGTTGTAGATGATGGAGCACTTGGATTACTTGTGAACTTATTTGTGATATATTGTGAGACATGTGACGTTTGTGATATATATGTGACGTTTGTGATATATATGTGGTGTTGGTGATATATATGTGTTGTTGATGATATATATGTGATGTTGGTGATGTTTGTTATATATATCTTCTGTTTGTTTGGATGGGATGTAAAAAAACAAATAAAAAGGCTGTTTTCAGTCACTTTGCCGAGTGCAATGGCCACGACACTCGGTAAAGTGACTACCTGGGAACATGCTTTGCCGAGTGCAAAGGCCATTGCACTCAGCAAACATCACAGATTTGTCGAGTGCCACGGGCCAGGCAGTCGGCAAAGGTCGCCTGTTTGCCGAGTGTCTTAACAGGACACTCGGCAAATAGGCTACCTTTGCCAAGTGTCTTTCCGATGGCACTCGACACAGTGGCCACCTTTGTCGAGTGTCTGAGTCAATGGCGCTCGGCAAAGCGATGACCTTTGCCGAGTGCTTGACCTTGACACTCGGCAAAGCCGCCGTCACGGTGGCGCTCGCCGTCACGGCGACTTTTCTTTGCCGAGTGTTGGATTAGCACTCGGCAAAGAGGTCTTTGCCGATAAACTGTTTACCGAGCGCCCTTTGCTGAGTGTAACACTCGGCAAAGGCTTTGCCAAGTGCCTGAGGCACTCGGCAAAGAAGCTAAATCCGGTAGTGAAAGCATGCAAGGAGGAAACGCCGACCGCACCAAGAGGTTGGATAGCTAGGTAGGTAGGCTATTCAAAAATAGAGACGGAATGAGGTGGGATGGAAAGCTACTAAATTTGGAATGTCATTTACAGAGTCTGTTGGAGACATTTTTTCTCTAATAATATCCAAATTTACCTTTAGAAAACAATTTGGCTAGTCTCTTGGAGATGCTCTTACAGATTAGAAACAATTTCTTGGACCATAGATTTGTGCCTTTTATTTGGATGGGGTATGGATAGGCATGACTAACCGCCCAACCATGTGTAATCGAACCATACACGGATTATCGGCCCCCTGATGAAATTATGGGCTGGAGCTGAATAGATACGTAAGGTCATGCCAATCGGGTACGTGATCTCAGTAATTAAACCAATTATAGAACTTTATTAGACTTGCTAGCACCCGAACGTCCAATTCAAGGCGCTAGCGTCGGACGGTGCTCCCACGCCCGCACCGTATACATCCAGCTCCCTTGCCCCCATGCCCATCCTATGCGCGGGCCCATGCATGCACAGCGACCACCCCGAGCCTACTCCATTTCGCACGCCCGCATGCACAGATGCGCGTGGTGACCCATGGTGGCACGGTGACCCACAGCAGTGCACTAACAGCAGCAACATGTACTTTCCCGAGATCTACTTTTGAAACATTCAAATAAAACACCTGCAACATATGTCTTAAACAGATAAAACACTCAAAACATGCGCTTGAAACATGTATGTATAGCCATAGCAACATGTGCAACACCCGATCCCCTTTTGAAACATCCAGATGTAACACTTGTAACATACAAAAAGAAGACAGATAAAACACTTGAAACTTGCGTCTGAAACACTTGCAGAAAACACATGAAAAACATTTGAAAACCATTGCAAAATATACACAACATCAAGATAAAACACTTGCAACATATGTGTGAAACATATGCAACATATAGATAAACACACTTGCAACATGTGTCTAAAAAGCAAAGGAAACATTTGAAACAAACGCTTGCAACATACGTGTACAAACCATTGCAACATGTGCAACATCCTGATCTACTTATGCAACATCCATATAAAACAATTGCAACATACCTCTTAATAAACATATGAAATGCTTGAAACATACGCTTGCAACATGTGCTTTCAGCAAAACCTGGCAGGCAGGGAGCACTGCAGAGCGAGATTCAGCGCTAGGTTGTGGTGGAGAAGGAGAATGGCAATGGACGGGTGGCTGCGCGGCCTCCGGTGAGTGGCACCAGCAGTGGAGGCGGTAACAGCGGTCGGGCAGGTGCGGCCTCATGTGGCGAGGCACCCCCGTGTTGGAGAAGGTCATGGCGGGCGGGTGCCGTGTCCGTGGTGAGGCGCTCCCGCACTGGGGAAGGCCGCGGTGAGCGGCAACCGTGCTATAGAAGGCGAGCAGCGGACGAGCGGTGGGGAACGCCGCGATGGCTGTGCAAGTTGGGAAATGTCGCTGTTTTTTTGGAGAAACCATGAAGGAAGATAGCGGGGAGCAGGCCTGTTGGGCTAGTAGTGTGCCGGCCCAGAAAGTGCTAGCCACATGTTGTTATTACTAGCTAGGCAACCGTTTAGGACAATTCAATGTCGTCTCCACATGATTAAACTGTTACAAAAACTATGTTTTGTGCATATGTGTTGTGGTTTGTCATTTGAAAGGTGTTGATCTAGCATGTGCCGATTAGCTTAAACCTATCGGAGCTGCTAGCGTCCGGACGTCCGGCCCATGGCTATGTCCGGACGTTGCTACCAGCTGTCCCATACAAGCGAGCGGAATCGTCAAATCCTGCATCTTCCTCCACAACGCTCATTTATCCACATGATTTCCTCCCGCAACAAGAGCACGCGGTGCAACGCTATGCCCTGTCCCCACCACACCTGTCTGTTGCTACAACATGGGAAATCAACAAAGTGCAACATACAACATTCAGTTACAAAGGAGATGATGCATCCTTAATTGATAGGCAAAATCATCGGTTACTACAACTCAGTTTTATTGCTACAACATGAGAAATCAATCATTGTGACATCTCAGTTTGTTTGCCGCAGCATTGACAATAAGCAGAATGCAACATCGAACTTCTGAAACATGAAAATAATAGAGATGCAACATCTCTAATCAACATAAGAAAATCATTGCTTACTGCAACACCAAGAAATCATCACTTAGTGCAACACCAAACATGCTAGTTTGTTGCAGCAACATGAGAACACCAAACAATCATGTGACACAACATGCTAGTTTTGTTGTAGCAATATGAGAGATCATCTACTCAAACATCTAAATTTATTATCGAAACATGAGAAATCTCCCGATGCAACACAAAAACAACAAATGCAACATCCCAAAAAGCATATGCTGAGCAACACAGCGACCCTAGATCCAAGAAGGAGGATGCAAATCTGGCCCCTTTGAGCAGCACAAAGTGTCCAGCTTAGAGCATGAGGAAAGCGGCAACGGACATGCTCGTAATATGCTGGCTTACCGATGGAGGAAGGTGGACGGACACGAGAGAGAGAGAGAGAGAGAGAGAGAGAGAGAGAGGATGTTGCTTGCTCGTCATTCTCGATGGGAGCTGTCGCTAGAGAAGGAGCATAGCGGGCGAGGGACGCCATGGAGAGGGAGGAAGGTTGGCGCTTGTAGTAGGGCGTGGTGGAGAGGGTGGTCGGCACCGGGCGGAGGATGAGCAGGAACTCGAAGCGAGCGATGCTGGGTGAAGAACGAGAGAGGACAACAGAGATTTGGGAGAGAAGCCGGTATCGATAAGAATATGTCCCGTGGGTAGAGATGTTAAGTTGTTAGGCCATTCGGGCCCAGCCACGTTGTGTCCAGAGATTGAAGCGGTCCGGCTAGCCTAATCCTATCAATTCCGTAAACCTATGGAACAGCCACCTTTTTCAAGTACAATGTTATTTCAAAAAATCTCTTCTGCAACCTTGTTTTCAGATATGATTCTAAAAAGAATGTTTTAAAACTTGGTCTAACCTTTCTTTCAAAACCCATTTTTATACTTATTTTTGAAGACACTTGTTTTTAGATCCTTTCTTTTGAAACCTTGTTTGAAGCTTATTTTTGAAAGCTTTTGTTAAGTCACTAGTCAGCATCGATTGACAACAGAAAGAAGTAAATATATATCTTTAGAGACAAATCATCACCAGATCGGATAGCATCAACACACAAGCTGCAGGGTGGTATTATGCATAGCAAAGCCCATACATACATATACATGCATCTCTCTCTCTCTCTCTCTCTCAAAACACAAGCTGCTGGTTATTCTTCAGTTCCTTGCTTATAAGCGATCGAACACAAAGCAGCCGCCTTAGCAAACGACTGTAACGGATTTTATTTAGTACTGTATGTACTAGTATATAAGGCAGCATCATGGCCAGATCCATCTGGCCTGGTACGAGCTTGCTTGGATCTGGCCAGCTAAGCTAGCTCACTTGTTTCTGCAACCCTTCGACGACTGACCTTAATTGACAGCGAACTTCCCACCGTGGTGAGGACCATAGTAATGGCTGTACTTGCCGTGGTGTCCCTGCTGGAACTTGCCATGGTGGCCATAACCACCATGTCTGTAGCGGTGGTACGCTTCGTGTGCTTCGTGAACAGCAGCAGCTCCGGCTGCTAGGCGGCCCATGCCCATGTGCTGCGGCGGCGCTCCGTACCCGTAGTAGCCGTAGCCGCCTCCATGACCATGATGTGTAGGGTAGCCTTGCACAGGATAGCCGCCGCTGTCGTGGTAGCCGCCGCCAGCATGTCGAGGAGGGTACCCATACAGTGGCGGCGGGTAGCCGCCTGCAGCAACATCACAACCCGGATACCCATCCGCCGCCGCCGCCGGCGGCTCCTTTCCAGGTGGCTGCTGCTGGTATGTTACAGTTGCAGCAGTAGGAGGAGGGTCAGCTGCTGCTGCTGCTGCGACTGGCTTTGGCTCCGCTTCAGTCTTGGGCGGTGGCTTTTGCGCTGCCGCCGCGGCCGCCTTCGCCGTCGCCACCGCCGCCGCCGCCGCCCTCGCCGCCGCCTCCGCTTCGTCCTGTTGCCAAGCAGGAGCAGCGCCATAGCCGTACAAGGGCTGCGGCATCCGAGGACCGAGTCCGAGTGGGTGGTGGTACTGGTATGGTGGTGGGTAACCGTAAGGAGGGTACGGCGGTGGCACGTTGTATCCAGTGGTGAATGACGATGAGAATGCGGAATGGTGGTGCGTCCCCGTCCCCGCCGGCGGCGGTTGTTGTTGGTCTTTGCGCCCCCAGCCCCACTTCTGATCGCCCTTCACATTGCTTGCCGCCTGACCGCTGTTACTATAGTTGTAGCTAGTCCCTCCGATGAATTCGATGTTGACGTCCTTCGGCTTCTTCTCCTTCTTCATATCTCTCCGCGCGCTGGCCAGACTACTGAAGAAACATCAGACACAGATTACAGGCACTACAAATTAACGAGTCATGTCATATGGAGAGAAAATGATGATTCAATCATTAACTGATTAATTTTTTGCATGAACTGTGGCTTTGATGATGGGCTCAAAACGTATGTTAAGTTGTTTTTCGTGCTCAAGCTCTGCTTCTACATATGTCTCTCTCTGTTCTTTGATTACTTGGCAAAATGCCCTACGCATGGCAACTAACGCCTATGATATATACTAGTGCCTCCGTTCTCCAAATATATCAATTTGTAAAATTGTCTTAAGCCAATTGTAGAAAAAACTCAAATATTTATGGCACAAAGTCAGTATTATTTGATATATCATGAAATATATTTTTATAATGTACTTATTCGATTTTATAGGTGCTGATATTCTTTCCTTTAGTCAAACTTATAAAAGTTAGTTTGACTTTGAACACCCGGAAATAACTCTGGAGTTGCTGCTACGTGCAAGAAGTTAAGTTTAAACAAGACATATATGCTGATTTCTCACCCACAACCCTTAAACCGTCAGCATGCATGCATACATTTATATTCTCTCCATTTTAAATTAGAGGTCTTTCTGGTTTTTCTAGGTACATATATTTTGTTATGAATCTAGATATACGCTATATAGATATATAGCTTTTACTATATACATAAAAAACAGAGAGAACAACCTATAATCTAGAACGAAGGGAGCAATATATATTTCTAAATACTGCAACATGAAGAAACATAGCGGATAATAAAACCATAGACTGGAGAACAAGGAAACGACTAGCTACGTACATGATGCTAGAGAAATAGATGGATTTAGACAAGTAAAAGCTAAGGTACCGATGGAGCGAAGGACTTCTTTAATTTCTATGGTCGTCTTATAGCTTTGTGGATGCTGTGGTATGGTATGCCATTATGGAGCACGGCCTAGCGAGCTATATATAGGCCAGAGGAGGCTGCCAATGCGTGTGTGTGCAGTCCAACGAGTATGCAACTGAGAGTAAGTACAATAAAGAGCTATAAAGTGGGTTTTATGGTGAGGTGGAAGAGAGAAGGAGAGAGAAGAGAAATGTGTTTATAGGTTTAAGGCCTAGTTGTAGAACCACATACAAAACCGTGGTTTAGAAAAAAGAGGTCTCTAGAGTGGAGTTTTTAAAACTCCAAAAAAAACTATAGTTTCAGCAATACCATGGTATTCAAAATCATAAAGTTTGTTACACCCAAACACTTCATGGCACTCTAAAACCAAAGTATTTCATAAAACCATAGTATTTTTCTAAAACTCCAAAAATACTTTGTATCAAAACAGGGCCTAAGTGTGTTTTATGCTGAGTTAGAGGAAAGAGAAGAGCAGTTTGCTATAAGTTTGCATGCACGAGCTCCAAAAAACTTTGAGAGAGAGAAAATTGGACCATGTATTAATAGTGAAGTATATTACTGTTAGAAGTATAGATAGTTACGATTAGTCATTGAGATAGAATCCTAGATATGATAGGTTTAGGCCTAGTATCGTTCTGCAAGTAGATTTCTTGTGTTCTTGGTTGGTGGGATAGGATGGGACAGACCAAGTTTTGGTAGTGTTTGGTTGAGAGTCAAGTGGGATGGAGATATCCCATTAGGGAATATCCATAGCATATTCTTAAAAAATGGGACAACCCCATTCCATCAAAACAAAGGAACCATGGGGACGAAGAGGGATGAGTGGGCCCCACTAGGGGATGAAGAGAATGACGAATGGACCCTGTTAGATGGTTCATCCCATGATAAATATCATGGGACCAAACACAAAACGAGGATGATCCCAAGCCTTGCAACCAAACACGGGACGAGGGTGGTCCTATCCCTAAAACAGGGTTGGGGCCATCCTATTCTTCATTGACTTGGAACAAACACGTATGAACCAGACTATATAATAAACATGCGGTAGCCTAAGGTAAGCAAAGTCGTTCTAATTATTTTTCACATGGACGAGCGTCGCTCGATCCTATCTTCCGCTCGTGTTGTCCTAGTGAGATCAATCTGTAAGCTCACTAGGAGGCCGCTGAGAATTAGCCTATCTCCCATAAATCATTCGTAGATGAGATTAGTATTTTTTTCCAAATCTAGCACCGCACCTGCGGCAAGTTCATATACGAGAATAATTTAGGTGGCATCGAGCCATCGACGAGACAGTACCAGAAGCAGGGAGCATCTCGTCACGCCAGACACGGCAGCAGCGGCCAGGAGTGCAACCGTGAGGCCATGTACATGCATGCGTGATGTGCATGTTGCATGTACGGATGTATGGCGCATAATTGAATGCTCCACTTCAATGGAACATCACTGCTACTTAAAACGATTTTTAGAGACCGGAAGTTTTTCTGAGACGGGTCAATATAGAGCCGTCTCTATAGTGGCCTCCAAACTCATCTCTAATAATACATTTTAAAGACGGCTATTGTTTTCAGCCGCCTCTAAAAATGCCCTAATTTTAGAGATGGCTCTATTTCGAACGGCCTCTAGAAATCAATTTTTAGACGAGGCTCTATTTATTCAGCCACCTCTACAAATAGGAGCTATATAGTAAATTCGAATTTTCAAACGATCTTGGACGAAGAAATGACCAAAACGAAAGTCGTAGATCTCAAAAAAAGTTGTGTAATTTTGTAATTGATAACTTTTCCATTTGAAATCATCTATGCATAATTACGTCTAAATTTCTCACATTTGAAATTCGAATTTTTCAAATGACCTCTTAATAAACTTTCTACTTGACAAGTTTTTTAGTTGAAACCATGTATCTAAAGAAAATTACATTTGAATTTCCTCACAATCGAAATTTAAATTTTGCAAACAACCTCGGATGGAGAAATGAGCAAAACACAAGTTGTAGATCTCTAAAAGTTAAACAACTTTGTAGTTGATAATTTTTTTTCATTTGTAATCATCTATCTATGAAAAATTACGTTTGAATTTCTCGCATTTGAAATTTAAATTCTTCAAATGACCTCATCTGGATAAACGACCAAAACCAAAATTGTAGATGTCAAAAAGTTATAAACTTTGTAGTTGACAACTTTTTCATTTGAATTCGTTTAAGATTAGGATTTCTAATTTGTAGAGGCAGAAAAGCAGAGGCGGCTGGAGTAGCCACTACCCGCCTCAACAAATAGGATTTCTGATTTGTAGAGGCACAAAAGCAGAGGCGGCTGGACCTATAGAGACTTCCCAGCCGTCTGTACAGTGCTTTTCTATAGTAGTGTATCCCAAGCTGTAAACGGATCTACAGTGCCAAGTCTTTGTTAAGTTTGATCTTCAGCACCAAATCTTCGTGAATGCAAGTTTATAGCTGAAAATTCATCGCCAATGATGGTCTTCATCCACCGCCGCCTCTTCATCCATAAGATGGACATCTCGTGTTCTCTGATAGAAATTTTGTAAGACACATCAGCGAGGATGGCAATGACTGCGTCAAAGAACGTTTGGTCAAAGCCAATCTATCTTAAGGCCCCGTTTGACCGGGCTCCGGCGGCTCCGGCTCCCGCCTGTCGGCTTCTGGGCGGCCGACACCTGGTTACTGTTCACCATAGCTGTTTTTCTCTCTCCTCCTTTCCTCTCTCACTGCCACAACCGGAGCTGAAGAAGCTCGTTTTTCTGGCTCCGCGGCTCCGGCTCCTGTAGGCACCTGTCGGCTGGTGGGCGGCCGACACCTGGCTACAGTGCAGGAGCCCGAGCCCGTGGGAGCCCGGCCAAACGGGGCCTAAGTGTGACTAATTTTATGGAAATAGTGTCAGCATGTGTGACTCCAAATAGATATACATATACTATGAAAATATATTTCATGACAAATCTTTTGATACTTATTAAGTGTGATAAATGTAAGTATCTTTTAATATAGATTTGGTCAATCTTAACATCATTTAACTTAAGACTATTCTAGAATTGCATCCTTTATAGGACGGAGAAAGTATCTTATAATACTGCTATATTATCAGAGTAGCATTTTATCCTTTTATTATTTCGTAGGTTGCAGTTAATTGATTTGTGTTTGTGTCTACACTACTATAAAATTGGACATCACTGTCGGCCTCATCACTTCCGAATTTCAAAAAACCGGCAGTGATAAGACCAACCGACATTGATATCCAGGTATTCACTGTCGATTCATATCACTGTCGGTTTTAGCCCAAAACCGGCAGTGATATTGGGTCATCACTGCCGGTTTTAGCCAAGAACCGACACTGATACTATCACTGTCGGTTCGTGGCTTGAACCGACAGTGATATGCCGCAAGAAAACTTTATAAGTTTCTCATATGATATCCAATGAAGGCGAACTTTATATCAAAGTTGTAGTACTTGATGAGATCTACAACTTTGTAATTCAAACTTTTTTAATTTTAGATAGTTTGGTTGTCTAGTGGGGCCTCTCCCGGTATAAATTTTTTTTCCTATTTTTTCAATGAATTTTTTGGCTTTCCTAGAAACCACATCACTGCCGATTCACATCACTATCGGTTCATAAGAACCGGCAGTGATGTCAATCCCACATCACTGCCGGTTCAAAATCCGACAGTGAAAGGGTTTTTTGAACCGGCAATGATGTTAAGCTCTGGGTAGTGCTATAAAGTTGAATTCAATTTTTTTTTTTAAAAAAACTCAAGGAATATACCTAAAATGTGAGCGTGGGAGCGTGGTTTTTCGTAGGCCAAAGTAGTAGTACTTTCAAGAGTGATACTACCTGACTCTCTTTCCTTTAGTAATGTGCATGATATGATGCCTTGCACCGGGAATAATCTCAACATAATATATCAGTTTTACTGTCTTGTCCACTGGAGTTAATTTATAGTAGTTTGCGTGCAATCGACGACGCCTCACAGCCTCAGACAAGTGTATACAAAAAGATTTCACCTTGGAATGGATGGATAGGGTAGCAAGACCGAATGCGAATATATGGGCTGGGGCATCAATGCAAGACCGACCCCTGCAC